ACGCCCGGGGCATGTCAAATTTTTGATAGAGAAAGTGTGATTTGCTTTCCGCCAAAAACTGGTCAATACAAACTGAAATGGAAGTCAACTTGTACCAGTATTAAGACAATATATATTCACTTGTATTTCATTTTATATGATTTGCAGACAAATAGCCTGCATTCGCCTTAAAAAGCAATCTGTTCGCAGAGATAGTCAAAAAAATTTTGATATGACATGCACATAAACTCGTCTTCTTTAACATAGATGGGAACAATTCTGTCCTCCGTGTAATAAGTAAAATGCAGCTTGAAAAGATATTCCGCCATTGTCCAAAGAGCATTGTAAATCAGCAATGCTGGTCAGAATTCACACTGTTCACGCTAAAAAAACCGAAATGTCTTGCGCAAACAATAAAAGAGAGAATGGCGCCTTGGACTCAGACAGGTATACATTGTATCAATAATGTTTATGCTACAGTTATGTTTTGATTAGTGGTGATAAAATCAGTGGCAATTTTATTAGGTACTTGCTCTGATGTATCAACATTTACCACAATCTGATTGTCCAATGTTTAGTGAAAACGATTGTAAACACTTTACAGCATTTGACATACACCCACTGTACTGAATTATACACTTTACAGTATTTGACATACAACCACTGTACTGAATTAAACACTTTACAGTATTTGATATACACCCACTGTACTGAATTATACACTTTACAGTATTTGACATACACCCACTGTACTGAATTAAACACTTTACAGTATTTGACATACACCCACTGTACTGAATTATACACTTTACAGTATTTGATATACATCCACTGTACTGAATTATACACTTTACAGTATTTGACATACACCCACTGTACTGAATTATACACTTTACAGTATTTGATATACACCGGCACTGTACTGAATTATACACTTTACAGTATTTGATATACACCCACTGTACTGAATTAAACACTTTAAAGTATTTGATATACACCCACTGTACTGAATTAAACATACACCCACTGTACTGAATTAAACACTTTACAGTATTTGATATACATCCACTGTACTGAATTAAACACTTCACAGTATTTGATATACACCCACCATACTGAATTAAACACTTTACAGTATTTGATATACACCCACCATACTGAATTAAACACTTTACAGTATTTGATATACATCCACTGTACTGAATTATACACTTTACGGTATTTGATATACACCCACTGTACTGAATTAAACACTTTACAGTATTTGATATATACCCAGTGTACTGAATAGTTCATGTTTTTTCCTAGCTACGAGAACGACTCGCACTTCTCAAAATTAGCGAGAAAGAGTCTGAGGAAGAGAAAAGGGATGAGATTCTAGCCAGTAAGCAAGCCAGAGATCAAATGTTAATGGATAAACTAGAACAAATATCCAAGTTCAGGGCAGCGGAGGGACAAGCTGCAGCTCTCAAGTGAGTACACATCAGTTAAAGAGCAATACCGTATTATTTGTTTCTATTACCAGCACATGCACTTATGCATTTTAATAATTCAGTGTACAATAAAGGTAACTTTTGATTAAGTTTACTTCTGGTATTTGAGATAAAATCAGTGTAAAATTTGCTTAGGGGGGAGACAGACTGTAATATTTTCTTTTTGACTCCCGTGTGCCAAGCACACAATAGGAGTCTTTGCAGTTAGTGTGTGTGTATGTGTGTATGTGTATGTGTGTCTGTCTGTTCCACTGATATCTCAAGAACCATACATTGTTTTTTGATGAAACTTTGGGCATGGATGCTCTGGGCCAATGCACAGATTTGATTAGGTTTTGGTAAAAATCCATGCATATTAATTACCTAATTTGCATGATAATTAGCTGATTTTTAGCTGTTCCATGACTGTGCCACTCATTGGATTAGTTTTGGGTAAAAATTTGTGCAATCTTAATTACCTCATTTGCATAATGATTAATCAATTTTTGGCTTTTGCACTGATATCTCTGATATCTTGGTACATAGATGTCATAGGACACTGCACAGACCTGATAGTTTTTAGGGTAATATCAGTACATATTAATTACATAATTTGCATAATTAATTAATTTTCAGCTTTTGATATTTCAAGTAGTAATCACATTTCAATGAAACTTGGTATATAGTTACTTAAGGACTGTGCAGACCCCTGATTAGTTTTTTGGATGAATATTTGTGCATATTAATTACCTTATTAGCATAATTAGTTAATTTTCAGCTTTTGATATTTCAAGTAGTAATCATATTTCAATGAGACTTGCTACATAGACCTTTTAGGACTATGCAGAGACCTGATTAGTTTTAGGGTGAATAATTGTGGATATTAATTACCTAATTTGCATAATTAGTTAATTGTTTCCATGAATGTTTCACTGATATATAAAGAACCACGAATTGGATTTTAATGAAACTTTTAAAGAGTACTCATCATCACATTTCAATGAATCTAGAACTATGCAGAAACCCACTTAGTTTTTGGTAAATATTTATGCTTATTAATCACCTAATTAACATAATTAATTAACACTGATATCTCAATTACTGATCATCACATTTGAATAAAATTTGGTACATAAATGCTCTAGGACAATAGACAGTCCTGATTAATTTTGGGTTAAAATTTGTTCATATTAATTCTCTAATTACCATAATAATTCATAATTTTTTTGTTCAGTTCTGTTCATATCAGTTACCTGATTTACATAATTAGTTTTCAGTTTTTCATCAATATCTCAGGTACAAGTAATTTTGAAATAATTTTTAATTAGTCGTCAATACTCTCAGCACACGGGAGTTCTTTCTAAGCCTTCTTTGATTTTCAATGTTTTTGATAGTTTATAGTCCATCTGAGATTGAGTAAAGACTACATTATTAACTGACATACAATAAAACTGTATTATATATCTTGCAGTGAAAACAATAGAATTTATATTGGCTTTTGTAAAAACTCTTTACAGATATGTTTAAATCTGTTATACACATGATCAAATCTGTTATGAACTTCTTACTTATTTTGTAAATTGTGTCACCAAAATGTTGGATTCAAACTTTTTTCTTTTGCTTACATCTGCTTACATCTACAGTGTAGCATGTGGTGGAATTTAAATATCATTGAAACAGTCGTGCAGGCACAAATATCATTTTTCACTAGTGTTTCGGGTTGTTATCTTTCACTTTTGACCACAAGTAGAAAAAGATGTATAATAATTAAGTTATCAAGGGAATAAATACCACAATAGGATCAATGAAGATGGTACAGTGTCAGTGTGCCCTTGAAGCTGATATGACACGTCAGACAGCTTGGATAATTTTTGTAATACAACAATGTTCATTTCCTAGCTGGTACACCAATGACACAACAAAAAAGCATACATTGATTTTCAAAAAAATCTTACTATATAGAATTTGGTGTTATGAAATTCACATTTTATAAACAAAATTTTTGTAAAAACAAAGGAAATCAGGTTATTTTGTATCTTCAGAAGCTTCAAACAGAAACATACAATTTTTATTTATCTTGAATATCCCTCCCCTCAGGGGTCATCAAGGTGACTCAGTTTGATTTTTGGAGTTCTATTGTGACTTAGGATCTTGACAAAGTCAGTCCTGTTAGAAAGCATGCTGACAAGCGTATCAACACAAGACCTGCTATTATTCTTGTAATAACCTCATATTTAATGAAAACAACTAATGTTTCATTTTCTTACAGACTTGAAGATAAAAGAAGAACAAAAGAAAAAAAAGCTGAAATAATAGATCCACGTGTGATTGCTATGCAACAAAAACTTGAACAGAGAAAACAAGAACGATTAAAAACTGCCGAAGTAATGAAGATCACACCCACCAAAAAGTCTGCCCAAAGGACGCAGAGTTTAACTAAAGAAAAGGTTGGTTGATTTCACTGCCTGAGATTGTGACTACCATAATAACAGTAAAATATGATTGGTTATTCTTGTATTTTCCAAATTTTGTTCAAAATCATAACTATTTTGCGGGTCATTATTATGGAGATGCATTTTTTATTTTCATCCTGAGTCTTGGAGCTCTTAGCTCTTAGTTAGACATCCTTAATGACATATTATAAATCACTACTACCAGAATTAAAAGTTTTTATAACGTCATAGCTTTAAATTATCACATAGTAATGTAAACCTCTATATTCAAGAAAATTTAAATGTTGGTGGCGGCTTCGCTTCACACATCTTACCATAGATCCTTCTTCGCATCCAGTATGTGGGAGTTTCATTTAAATAACTATTGTAACATTATAACTAAGTTTTATAATTTGCACTGCAAATTAGCTCACAAAGCTATGTAGCAATTACACAAATATTGCTTTTCAAAACTACTCAAAGACTCATGTTCATGATAAGAATGGTAAAAGACGTTGGAAAACTCTGTTATCAGAATGGGTGTATCATCCCAACTCATCTGTGAACTACCTGGATTCATTAAAATTCTTTTAATTCACGTATATATTGAATAACAGTCCAAACTTGAATAAAAAATATTCAACTGTTTGAAATACAAGCTGAATTCAATGGAAATAAATGTTGGGAAGGTTAAATTTCAAAATGTGGCATAATCAACTCTTCCGCATAAACCAAAAGATTTATTAATTTTTAATATTGGTCTGAGGTCAAAACATAAGAGTTTCTGTGTATGGCTTTAATTATTACTTATAATTCGGCCTTTGTGCGTCTGTGCGTCCGTCCGGAGTCATATCTCAGAATCCCTTGGACCGATTCCGTTCATTCTTTGCATGTGCCTAGTACTTAATGTGGGACATATGCACATGCAGTGGTTTATCGATTTGATTCAAAATGGTCGACTGGCAGCCATCTTGTTTTTTGAAAATGTTGTATTTTGGACATGCTTTGTCAGTTTTCATTCAAACTTGGTACATAGATTATACATGTTAGGATACATGTCCATGACAATTTCCTTTGCAATTGGATCAAAGATGGCCGACTGGCAAGCGTCTTGTTTGTTTTTTTCAAATGTGGAATCTTGGATATGCTTTTTCAGTTTTTATTCAAATTTAGCACATACTTTATACATGTTAGGATACATGTCCATGACAATTTGTTTCAAAATCGGATCAAGGATGGCTGATTGAAAGCCATCTGAATTTTTGGCCTTACTACTATATTTCCAAGATTTATGTACCATTTCATTCTTATTTGGCACATACATCATACATGTCACTTTGTTTCATAATCAGATCAAAGATGCCCGAATAACGGCCGTTTTTATTCTTGGCCATATTGCTATATCTCTGTCACCCATGTATCATTTTCATTGGTATTTATTACGTCATAAATGAATACATGTACATGTTAATTCAATTTGCAATTTGATCAAATATGGCTGACTGCGGCCATCTTGTTCATTTAAAATGTGATAACTTGGACATGCTTTCACTTGTGATCTATGTTTTTCTTTGCTATGTCTTAAACCGGAGCGGTCGTCACATGTTCGAATTTGATGTAAATAAACAATCTGTTGTATACGCCACTTGGGACGCAACTTTCAAGGATACACTCGTGACAACCCCTCCACTTTAATATGACGAGCACAAAGAGAACTTTCAAAAATGTAACGGGGACTGTGTAATTTTCAATGACTTGTAATTTGTTTATTTTCTTACTTTGCTGAATATGCTAAATTAAAACCTAATGAATATTCAAATTTAATTATGAAATATGTTTCTGTCACACACCAGTGACAACATGAAACTGCGAGACAAAACCCAATGAATATTTCTCATTTTCACAGTAAAGGTAAGTGATCTATAATAGCTATTTCATTCATAGTACAGGTGTTCCTAATATACCATGATCTTTTTTTATTCCAGAAACGTTTAGAAGCAGACAGATGGAGAGAATTGGAGAAGACAAGAGAAAGGGCAGCTGCATTGAAATCTCAAGGGGCAGTTGGTAGCAAATCAGTCAATAAACTGTCATCATTCAGACAGCTGTCTGCTGGCCAAGCAGCCTCCTAAACTATGAATTAAATTGAGTTATAGTGACCTGAGTTATTTATATTGTGCTTATATTCAGTGGCAATCAAGCTGTGTCCTTATTTTTAACACTTCTCTTGGGCATGTTTACTGCCTTGTTTTCAAATATTTTCAGCCAACAGCCTCATTTTCAGTTCACAGCCTCATTTTCAGTTCACACCAGCCTCATTTTCAGTTCACAGCCTCGTTTTCAGTTCACAGCCTCATTTTCAGTTCACACCAGCCTCATTTTCAGTTCACAGCCTCGTTTTCAGTTCACAGCCTCGTTTTCAGTTCACAGCCTCGTTTCCAGTTCACAGCCTCATTAACAGTTTCTGTCAGCCACACTTTCAGCCCATACCAACCTCATTTTCAGTTCATATTATCCTTGCTGTCAGTCCTCAGCACCATTTTTAGTTCACATCAGCCTCACGTTGGCACACCAGCCTTAAATATCCACCAGTGAAATGTAAGCATTGAAATCATAAACTGAACTACATTTATGAAAACATTGCAGGACTGTACTTCTCAAAAAATGCAATTTCTCCTTCAATTTGCCATGTCCTTGATATTATCATAATTTTGATTGATATTATGGCAGATACAAGTATTTTATTATGTATTATGTAATTTGGTCACATACAGGAAACAAGTTGACAAAGTATTTCTACAAAGTGTGTAATTTCTCAGCTTGTGTTTGAAATCCATTTATATATTCATATTTTTGTGTTATGAATTGTATTATATCTGTGTTATTTGATCCAAGTATTCTATACCATGAATAAATCCGTCCCTTTCCACAAAATACAAAGTGTGCTTTTGTTGTTCTACCATTTTTCAACATATGATCCTTCTAAGAGTGTTCAATAATATTCCAGTCCCCTTAGTCAACAAGCTTCTAGTTGATAAGTCTGACTGATGTCTAGCTCAATGGACTATTCACTGGGCTACAGGGATGATGGACATCAAGCCGTTAGTGATTCTTTTAACATCTGTTCCTGTAAAATAAATGTTGTCGATCTGCCCCAGGATATTTAAATGTGGTCTCTAAAAATAGACATATTAGAGTACAAATCCCAGTTTTGTTGACAAGATAGTTTATACGGTGTCTCGATAAGATATTGTCCTAGCCTACTGAATTCTTTCCTGGGGGGCTACCTGAAGTACCCATTAAGGCACCCTGGGAGATCCTTGCAACTTTCCACTTTATTTGAAGATGGCTACATATACATATATTCTATCATCTGCCACTTTCAGTAGTGCTTTAGCAACAAATATATCTCTGAGGAAGCATTTATTTGCTTTGATTTTTGCTGTTATTGTGCTGAGAAGCCTGTCATTCAAGTCTCTGCTGCAGAAAGATATTTGCAGAACAAGACTGTAATGTTCTTCTGTTGCTTTACACTCTGCCATTCTGCAGGTACACAGTGATGCACATTAGGGTTGGGGTCAGGCCCCACCATAGATCCCACTGTTAACACCGTTTACTCCAGCAGCAGGCTTGAGCATCATGCCTCAAGGTCCACTCTTAGACGACTGTCTTTGTCGATGTTGACACTGGTGTGGCACAGAGACTGTCAATTTTAGGCCTTCAGTAGTAAAGCACAATTGCAATTCTGCTCCATTCTGTCCCTGGCAATGAACGAACATGCTGGCTGTCACCTGAGCTCTTGAGTAGGCACACACAATTCAGATTAGATTGAGATTGCAGCCTGAGAGCAAAGGTGCAATCACCATTTCACAGGTTTTGACCCTTGCTTCTATGCTCGCCTGTTTCTAATACCAATAGCATCAGATGAATTGAGGTCAGTGATTGGTCTCTCTAAATCCGGAGGTTCAGTCATTCGTTTAGATCACCACACAATAGTCAGTCCATCAACCAAATTAGGCTAAGCAGAACTTGAATCTGAAGGAAGTCTCAAATTTACATACCTGTTCTAAATAGGGCAAACCCTTTAATCAGCACAACTGGTTCACGAGAGCACGCAGGATGCTGGTATTTCACCAGTCTTCCTGCATACCAAGAATTCTAAATGCCTGTAGTGCTCATGCCTCTAGTGCATTTTCCTGTAAGAAAAGTTCTGACAATCAATGTCCTTGATTGGAAATGGATATAGACACATTAGACAAATGCTGCATTGGTTCAGATAATGCACAACCCAAGTTGCTCGATAACCACGACTCTTCCATCATGTACACATGCAGTGGAAATGTTTTTTCTATGTCTGTGTGTGTTCGAGCACCACATGCTGCAACATAGCTATTCCGCTACTCAGAGCGATCAATTTCCAGCCAAGAAATTGATACTTACCAATGTGCCTTCTAAGCTGATATGATGCACTACTGCATGACTACACAGATTTGCTGATGTACCTAGAAAATCATACATTGATATAGTGATTTATTAATGTTATGGAATTTGTAATAGTTATCATGAAACTCATATTTTATAAACAAAATGAGTGTAAATTCAAAGGGAATCAGTTACATACAATTTTCTGAAGATCAACCTTCCCAGCAGTTAAGTTGACTCAATGTGATTTGTTAGAATTCTATTTTGACAAAATCAGTCCTATTGGAGGTCGCACTGATTGCCCAATGAGTACATGTTAGCCCTTTTGTAATGAGGGTGAGGGTGAGATGCCTTCATTATCTGCGTTCAACCATCTGATCCTAGATCAATGCTTATGATGCAGGTTTGGGGTCAGCATGCACAGGGATTCTGGATGATCAGACAGATCAATAGGAGGGAGCTGAAGGTTAATTGTTCAGCTTGAACTAGTGGACCTGTCTGCCAGATATTTGCACATCAAATCTGTTCTTCTGAGAGGCAACAATTCTATGACCCTCATCTACCTCAAAAAGGAGGAAGAGACAAGGTCATTGTTCTTCAATCTTGCAGTAGAGAATCTCTTGTGGGGTGCAAAGCATCAGAAGTGATTGCCCATACTGTTTCAAACTTAGAGCAAGTTCAACTGCTATGAGTAGTTATTCATAGATCACCACAAAGCTGCATGTGACCAGAGTCAAGCATTGATCTGTTTGCCACACCACTTAAACCAAGGAGATCAGCTGATGTGGGAGCGGTGCTGTCAATCAGCTTGAGACTTTGATGTACGTGTTTCCTCTCGTTTTCACTGTTAAAGTTGACATTCTTTCTTGTGGTCACTACTGGGGGACCACCTGAGGACCTTGCCCCACAGCCCAATGTTGCTGACAATACTTTATACGGGCTTGTCTGTGGATGCCAGAGCTGTTGCTTATGGTCATTACTGGGGGACCACCTGAGGACCTTGCCCCACAGCCCAATGTTGCTGACAATACTTTATACGGGCTTGTCTGTGGTGCCAGAGCTGTTGCTTTGGTCATTACTGGGGGACCACCTGAGGACCTTGCCTCTCAACCCAAGGTTGCTGACAATACTTTATACGGGCTTGTCTGTGGATGCCAGAGCTGTTGCTTATGGTCATTACTGGGGGACCACCTGAGGACCTTGCCTCTCAACCCAAGGTTGCTGACAATACCTTATACGGGCTTTCTGTGGATGCCAGAGCTGTTGCTTGTGGTCACTACTGGGGGACCACTTGAGGACCTTGCCTCTCAACCCAATGTTGCTGACAATACTTTATACGGGTTTGTCTGTGGATGCCAGAGCTGTTGCTTATGGTCATTACTGGGGAACCACCTGAGGACCTTGCCCCACAGCCCAATGTTGCTGACAATACTTTATACGGGCTTGTCTGTGGATGCCAGAGCTGTTGCTTATGGTCATTACTGGGGGACCACCTGAGGACCTTGCCTCTCAACCCAAGGTTGCTGACAATACCTTATACGGGCTTGTCTGTGGATGCCAGAGCTGTTGCTTGTGGTCACTACTGGGGGACCACCTGAGGACCTTGCCTCACAGCCCAATGTTGCTAACAATACCTTATACGGGCATGTCTGTGGATGTCAGAGCTGTTGCTTGTGGTCACTTCTTGGGGCCACCTGAGGACCTTGTCTCACAGCTCAATGTTGCTGACAATACTTTATACGGGCTTGTCTGTGGATGCCAGAGCTGTTGCTTATGGTCATTACTGGGGGACCACCTGAGGACCTTGCCTCTCAACCCAATGTTGCTTACAATACTTTATACGGACATGTCTATGTATGCCAGTGCTGTTGCGTGTGGTCACTACTTGGGGACCACCTGAGGACCTTGCCTTTCAACTCAAGGTTGCTGACAATACCTCATAAGGGCATGTCTGTGGATACCAGAGCTGTTGCTTATGGTCATTACTGGGGGACCACCTGAGGACCTTGCCTCTCAACCCAAGGTTGCTGACAATACCTTATACGAGCTTGTCTGTGGATGCCAGAGCTGTTGCTTGTGGTCACTACTGGGGGACCACCTGAGGACCTTGCCTCACAGCCCAATGTTGCTGACAATATCTTATACGGGCATGTCTGTGGATGTCAGAGCTGTTGCTTGTGGTCACTTCTTGGGGCCACCTGAGGACCTTATCTCACAGCTCAATGTTGCTGACAATACCTTATACGGGCTTGTCTGTGGATGCCAGAGCTGTTGCTTGTGGTCACTACTGGGGGACCACTTGAGGACCTTGCCTCTCAACCCAATGTTGCTGACAATACCTTATACGGGCTTGTCTGTGGATGCCAGAGCTGTTGCTTGTGGTCACTACTGGGGGACCACTTGAGGACCTTGCCCCACAGCCCAATGTTGCTGACAATACTTTATACGGGTTTGTCTGTGGATGCCAGAGCTGTTGCTTGTGGTCACTTCTTGGGGCCACCTGAGAACCTTGTCTCTCAACCCAAGGTTGCTGATAATCCCTCATACAGGCATGTCTGTGGATGCCAGAGCTGTTGCATATCCATGCTTGCAACTATAGATTTTCAGAGGGACAAGTGAGCACCATGCTCCAGTCCTTTCAACAGAACAAATTAAAATATCTATATTCATAACATTATATATATTCATAGCATCTATCCTATACCCCATAACATCGACTGTATATCACACAGTATAAACTCCACATCCCATAGAATAGACTCATAAAAATGACTATATATCACATAGCACGAACTCTCTATCCCGTATGATATACTTTATATCCAATATAATAGACTATATCCCATAAAATTGACTTTATACCACATATCAAAAACTCTCTATCCCATATGATATACTTTATATCCAATATAATAGACTATATCCCATAAAATTGACTTTATACCACATATCACAAACTCTCTATCCCATATGATATACATTATATCCAATATAATAGACTATATCCCATAAAATTGACTTTATACCACATATCACAAACTCTCTATCCCATATGATATACTTTTTATCCAATATAATAGACTATATCCTGTAAAATTGACTTTATACCACATATCACAAACTCTCTATCCTATAGAATAGACTTTATATCTCATAGAGTAAACTCTACCTCATAGCATCGACTGTATACATGTATAACACAGCAACTTTACATACCATAGTATAGACTATACACTACTTTTTATCCACTATAATAGACTATATATCATAACATTGACTCTCTATTCCAGATTGACTCTATATTCTCTAATTCCTAGTAAAGTAAATGTAGCCCGTACTTCCCATACTTCTTCATAGCCTTTATTCAAATGATCAATAATAGCTATTCGACCCAAAATACACCATTTCTATAAATCACGCCCTCTAGTGACACAGCTCTTCTGTGACGTACTGTAAACGCGTTAATTATTCACTGAATATTAATTTCGTTATTTTCACTGATAAA